TCTGAGAAGTGCATCGCTGTGCAAACATCAAAGAGTGTAATTAATGACACAAACCTAGATGGTACAGCCGACTACACACCTAGGTTATAAGCCTGTACAGCACGTTATTGTACAAAACATGAGATGAAGTCAAGCACAAGAGAAAATGATGCATTCAAGACAGTAAACATGAGATGAGGCTGCTGTTGTTTATACTGTCATATTGTTTGGCAGCAAACTATCAGAAAGGGCAAAGATGGCAAATACATAACACGTCATTTATTATCAAGTATTGTACAAAGTACTGTAAGATTTACACAAGCACCACCACAAACACATGACTAATGCGTTGCACTACATGATGGCTATGTCACTACACAGGAATTTTTCAGCTGCATTCATCTTATGGGAACAGAGTAGACACAGTCCATTGACTGAAACACTGTGGCAAATGACTACATATACATTGTGAAAGCATTCACCACCTCACCTTTTTTTGAGAACATTTACGTTCTTAGCAAGTTTCAATGCAGTTATTAACTAGTCAACATGTTATACTCAGAACTTACTCATCTTGCAGCAGAGTTGGAAATGGTAGCTCATGGCTCTGATTTGCAATTCCCTATTGACTGATGATGTTAAGCACCTTTTCATGTGCTTATTGGCCATTTATCTTTCTTGGAGAAATTTCCATTCAAACCTTTGGCCTATTTTAACACACTGTGGACCAGTGACAGATTTGCATCTATACATTACAGCTGTTCAAGATGGATAACGCAAATCTTCCTTAACACACGCTTGGTTTCCACAAACTAGACACTTAACTACACAATACATGGAGCCTTTCTCCGAATGGTCCTGCTGACAAATGTTTTTTCAAAAAACCCGAGTTAACGATCGGTGATAAATATAGGAAACAAAACAGCTCTGTATTTTCCTGTTGCTCTGCTCTGCATTTAGTCAGCATTCAGATTTCAGTCACTTTACATCCATGACGGAAAGACATAGTTCTTACAGTTAAAAATCTTACAGAAGACGAAATTTCAGCAGAATTGTTGGCGTACACATTATCTGATGTTCCTGACAATGGTGATAGTGACAGTGAAAATGACAGACTCTTCTATTATTGGAAATAGGCAAAACAAAATTGTGCATCCTTTACCGAGTTACAGTGAGTGAACAAAGCACAAACGAAAGTGACGATGACGATGACACTAGATTTGGCAGTTTCCACATGGGTAAAAACAGATAAAACACCAAATTTAGGGCCATTTACCAGAAACCCAGGTGAAACAAATTCCTTTTGACCCAGTGAAAGTATCACAAGTAACAGGACTCTTGGAGACAGATTGATATGTTTTGTGAGGAAACGACTCTATTACTTACAAAATCAGGAAGTATGTTACTGGTTCTAAGGGGATGAAATGGTCAGATGTCACTGTAGCAGAAATGAAATTTTTTTTCAATAATTATTCTAATGGGGCAAGTCAGGAAAGATCAACTAAAGGATTACTGGTCTATGGATACATTTTTAGATCCTTTTCAGGAAACATATGAGCTGTTAATAGATTTGAACAAATTTGGTGTTGTTTACATTTCAACAATGAACTTCTGCAACAACCAACAGGCTTTTCAAAATTCAACCCTTATTGGATTTTTTTCCTTGAAACATTTTAGACTATAAGCCAAATCAACAACTTTCCTTAGATGAAGCAATGATTCCTTGGAGGGGTAGGCTTTGTATACGAACATATAACCTGGGGAAACTGATTAAGTATGGCTTGTTCGTATGGTCACTGAAAGCACCTCAGGCTACCTCTTGAATTGAGAAATTTATGCTGGTGAAGGAAAAAAATTACAGGAAACTATTTTCACACTTTTGGAACCTTATCTTGATAAAAATTACCATGTCTACCAAGACAGCTATTACAATCATGTGACAATTACTGAAACTCAAGACAATTTCAAGTATGTGAAACCATCAGAGTGAACAGGGGTCTTCCTCCAGAAATGAAAAATGAATCAGTCTTTTTTTTTTAAGCTGAGCCATCCTGCCACCTGTTGGTAGCTCAGCGGCTGCTCAGCGCGGGCCGGGAATCGAACCGCTGTTTCTCAGAGCTCACACTCTTGAACGAGCTCTTCACCAACTGAGCCACTCAGCCGGCCCAAATCAGTCTCTAAAACGTGGTGAAACCACATTCAGGAGAAAGGGTGAAATTCTTCTTAAATCCTAGAGGGATACTCGTTGTCAACATGATTTCCACAATTCGCGATTCAACCATGGTTGATGTTCCACCGAAAAATGAAGAAAAAAACCTATTTGTATTTTTCAGTATATGTTCATGAAGGGTGTTTGACAGGGCAGATCAGTACTTGTCTTCTTATTCTCTTGAGAAAAACAGTGAAGTAGCCAAAGTTGCGTTTTGGCTTATAAATTGTACACTTTTCGAATCTATCAAAAACTAAACCCTACATCAAAAATGAGATACAAAGAATTTCTGCTACAAATGGCAAAAGACTTTGCTACAGATAAGATGGAGACAAATAATCACAGACACAGCACACCCAAGAACATCAACCCAAACCCCTCATGTGCCTCATGAGGAACCCCCTGGGAGACTTTCGGGTGATATGCACAAACATGTGCTAGAGGAAATTGTTGGAAGTGAACGGGGATAAAAGAAAATATCCTGCTAGGAGGTGCAATGTTGGTGCTGTCCACAAAAGTAGTGAAACTCGGTACATATCTACAAGTTCTGCTTAATGCCAGTCCACAAGGGGGAATGTTTCCAGAGGTATCACACCCTCAAGCATTACTAGGGTCTGGTATTTCCTGAAAATTTCAGTTCATAAAAATAGCTAATTTGTTACAAATTTTTAAAGAAACACAGTATAAAAGTGTATTTCAATGGTTTAAATCGCAGGAACATGCATTTAAACAAGTTAAATGCCATCCTCAGTGTTAGTTGGGTTTTTAAAATTGTACCCTTTCTAGATAAAAGTCCCTGCTCAGATACATGATTTGCAAATATTTTCTCCCCTTCTGTGGGTTGTCTTCACTTTCTGGATGTTCTTTGAAGCACAAAGTTTTTAATTTGGTAAATGCAATTTACCTTTTTTTGTTACATTTTTGGTGTCATAGCTAAGATACCTTTGGCCAAACTCAAGGTCATGAAGATTTACCCATTTTCTCCCAAATTTTTGTTGCTCCATTTAGGTGTTTGACCCACTTTTCCTTCATTTTTGCATATGCTATAAGAGGCTATATGAATCTTAGAATCAGTTCAATTTCAAGAAGTCAGTTGGGATCATGTTGAATTTGTAAATCAGTTTGGGGAATACTGACATGCTAACAATTTTGTCTTTCAATCCATGAACATAAAGATGTTTTGCCGTTTGGTTCTTCATAATTTCTTCCAAGTCTTTTTCACTCTCAGTCCTTGAGTTATTTGTAAGTACTGTGTTCCCTCTTGCCTCAGGCACGTTTGGAACTCAATCCATTTTGGGTGCAAAAACATATGTCCAATCTATTTAAAATTTTGTGGGCTTTATCATCTAAGTTCTGAGCTTTGTGGGCTTGCTTTTCCCCTACCTTGTCTCCACACTTACTGCTATCTGTCAGGCATTGTGCCAAGTACTTAAAATACCAACTAATCAACATACAACCCTGCTAGGCAGGGATTCTTATTTAGCCTATTTAATATTTGAGGTGAAATAATTTGTTAAAGCTCACTGGTCTCTCCCAGGACTCCAAATACCTTCAGTACTAAGGATCTATTACTAATTTCCGCCTAAGGACTACACATGGCCTAAAAGCTTACCAAAATTAATACATTTCTCTACTCTTTGCTATCAAATATTAAACTAAGTATCAGATCTTCTAATTCCATGCTATATAACTAGGTAAAGAATCCTCAACTTGTTGACTATAAACCCTATTTGAAAATACCATGTACTCTTTGTTCCAGCAACTGTGCTAATGCTTTATGTGCATTAAATGACCCAAATAAATCTTTTATCTTTTATCCAAATGACCCGATTAAAAAGATATTTTGTTAATTCTACCAATGGAAAAAAACCTGCAACTTGGGTAACTTGCAAGATAACACAGCTGGGCAAATTACACAATACTTGAGCTCTGGTATTTATGACCCCATTATGCCCCTAAACCACTGTCTTATACTGCAGGTTGTTTTTGCCTTGAAGATTCATAAAGCTTCAGATCCTAAGCTGACAATCAGAATGAAGAGAAGTTGAACCAAAACATGGACTCAAAAGATTTCTTGATTTGGGATGGCTGGCCTCCCTATTTGAAAAAATATGGCAATCACAGATAATCAGAATGACCATAATCATGAGAAAAACAGCAGGATCTTGGTCTCATCCCTAGCACTGACTATACACAGTTCTTCAAAGCAAATGCCATGACACCAGTGACTGCTGTGGCTTTCAACTCTCTTCCTTTGTGGCTATTTTAACTAATCTTGAACAAACTTCTGAATTTCAACTTTCTTCTCTTTCATCACAGCAAGCTTGTAAATTAGCACTTTAGGTATAAAACCTATAAAGAGGGACAGCTGGTTAGCTCAGTTGTTAGAGCGCAGACTCATAACACCATGGTTGCCGGTTCAATCCCCACATGGGTTACTGAGCTGCGCCTTCCACAACTAGATTTAAACAACCACTTGACTTGGAGCTGACGGGTCCTGGAAAAAGTTTCCCGGTTTTAAAACAAAAACAAAAACAAAAAACAACACCTATAAACAGTAAAGGCAATTTAAAAATACTGATGGCCAAATCAGGTTAGGACAGTGAAAAGCCATCTAATTGATTAGTAATTAGATTTAAGTAGCTCTGCCAAAAAAGCCTCAAGAAATAGTTCTGAATTATATATAATCTGTTCTATGTCTATAATATGGAACATCTTTTTTTAAGTCACCTAGAAACTAGAAACAAGTTGATGACATAGGAAAATTCTAGAAAATGAAAGTCCTACTTAAAAATAACAAATAAAAGGACAATCTGATTTAAAAATGTCTTTATTAACAATTAGGCTGTTCATTCCTCTTTGCCCTCTTCCTCACTGGTTTCCTGGACAGTTCACCTGATCCTGCCAATTAAAGGAAATGATTACTCCCAAAAGACGTAATAATCAGAGTTATCAAGTTCTCATTTATCAGTTAGCACCAAGCAAGTAAACTTCCTAACAAGGAAATATTAATCAAGGAATATGGTATTAATAGTTCACATACATATAACTACGGCTTTAAGATGCAAAGATTGTTTAATTTCAAACTGATTATGAGAGCTCTTTAAACCTAAGTGATACCTTACCTAGCTATACATGCAATTCATATTATATAAGGGGACAGTAAGCTACTATCCACAGCCACCCTTTTGTAAAATAGTTTTACTGGACACAGCCATGTCCATTTGTTTATACGCTGTCTGTGACTGCTTTCCAGCTAGAACAGCAGAGTTGAGTTACCCTGTAAAATTGTCAACCAATCTAGATTTATATTTTGTTCTCATTTATTTTCAACTGTAGAAGACGCTACCATATAACTACACAGATAAAAAGCAAAAGAGGGAACTTCAAATTTTCCAAACCCTTCTCTGCATGGTGCTATGGACAGAGGTGAATATATATACCTACTTTTATAAAGTCCCTGTTTTTCTGAGGCTTGAGCCAAATCAACAAGGCCTACACCCTCAGAAGGCTGTTAAAACAAGTATTTTAGTGCTATAAAAATATTTCCCACAAAAGTTTTAATGTATAAGAGATGAAAATGAGATATTCACACACAAGTGATTATTTTTGTACTGTTCAAAAGTTCTTTTTTCTAAAGGCAGTTTACAGAGTAAGGATCATGTAACTTACCTAGACACTTCCTCAGTCTACCAAGTTTTGGCTTTCCTTCTTGGCTGGCTCACGCTGTGTGATGTCTTGAGAACAAATATCTTATTCGCCTATCATTAAAGACATAATTTTATTAAAATAACATGCTCAGCATTACATTCTAATTCATATTTAACGTGTACACTTTATGTTTGGATTTCAATCAGTGTTTTTTTGTTTTACTATGGTATTGCTTCAAAAAGATCCAGCCTACACCAAAGGTAAGTTCTAAAATTTTTCCACATGTACTTATGAATGGGTCCTAAGCTGAATTTAGAGTACTAAAAGTACAGCATTTCTCCACTAATTCAAGCCCACTTTTCTGCTCTATGATTGTTTTCTTTACCTAACTATGCACCTTTTCTCAATTCTTCTATTGTTTGACAGTTTTGTAATAAATACTCTCTCCATCTTTTCTCTTTCCAACTCACACACATAGGTACATGCACATACCTATTTTCAAAAACACAGAAATACAGGAATATTATCTTAGGAGAGACAAAACATCTTAAAAATCAAATGTTTCACCCCACATAGCTAAATGAGATTTAACCATTTAAAAAAACCCAAAAAAACCCCAAAAAAGACACCCCAAAGTCCTCTACTTCTAAGGTTAAGGTTTCTAAGGAAACTTACTTCAAGTAAATAAGCACTCCAATCAGCCAACATCAATCATTCGTACCTAAAGAATAATAAGAAAAAGTTAGTATAAAAGACAAGGGTGTAAGGTTTGAAAATGCTAGTTAACTTCAAAATTTAAAGAGTAAAATTCCAGAGACCAAGATTGGGGGCAAGTTACAGCAATTTTTTTTTAATAAAACAAATAAAAATAAAAAAAAAGGGAAGAAACTTCATGGGGGGGTGGATCTAAAATTATTCTTTCATAAATATAGCAGACACCTGAATTAGAATGAAAACTGTATCTTCTGAAAATACAAAAGCCTAACTGCTATTTCCACCAGTCTGAGCACAATATAAAGTTTGACTGCAACCCAAAATATACTATCCCTTATGTGAAGGTATGTGACAACGTTTACCTTACCAAATAAGTTTTAACATCGCCTCTTTTTTCATAAAAGCACATACCCTGCTCCTCATTCAAGTATGCCTTCCATTCTCAGGTGGACTGACCACCTTCAGCAGTCCTCCAAGAGTGCCCTCCCCATTCCCCAGTACACAACAATGCAGTTGTTACCCTGCAATCCTATATATTTGCCTCATTCTTTCCCTCTAAGTCCTCACTGAGTTTTAAGTTAGGGCAGGGAAGCTATGCCTTATCCAGACAGCAAGGAACCTGAGTTTTTTCTGAGGGAGAAAACATTCACCTTCACTATATATGCCTGCAGGGCCACAGTGCACAAAAACCAGAAAGAACAGCCTTAATTCAAGTTTTTCTTTCTCCCTGATTATCAGTTACTGCCAAGGGTATATGCATTAGAGTCCCTGTTGCACATGTACCATCCATAAGGGATACTATATCGTTTTGCATTCTTCCCCCATTCTCCAGATTGTTCTATTCTGCATCCAGCCTCCCTCTTCAACCCTCGGAATAAAATCTTTTCAGCACTGGTGTTCAAAACAACATTTTTATGGTTGATGGTTTACCAACAACTGTGCGATTTCCACAGTTGAGTCTTAAAAATTGCCAATCATTATCTAGCAGCAATGACAGATGATTAGGAGCAGTCAAATCCTCCAAGTTCTTTCCCTAATAGGCAGCCATTTGAGAACTGCACTAGCTGACAAGAGCACTGAAACATATCAGCTAAAGCCAAAACCAAGTAAGGCCCAGAACAAACATCCTGGCTCTCTAAAACCTGTCCAGAATCATTAAGGGAAAGGCAGTAAATGCAGGACTATGGATCATGTCACTGCAGCTGACAATGATTAACAATAGGACACATGCAACCCCCATTAAGGTTTAAAAGTCCAAAACTAGTCACACGCATCTCTTCATTTGGGAAGTGAGACTATTGTGCATTCTTTGTAGGTTTTGCAACCTTGTGTCAAGAGCACCCATTGCATTTCTTTCATCTTTCAGAAAGCACCTGTTAACTGTTCCAATGGCCTAACAGTACGAAAATGCATTCTGGCATCACACCTCTGAACATCAGACCATCCTCATTAAAAATAATAATTTTGGTTTGTAGGAAGAAAAGATTATGAAATACAATGCAAGCACCTCAGCAGTGTTATTACTGAAACCCACTTATTCCCAGTTTTTTAACTGAGTGATTTAAGACCCCCCTGTACTAAGATTCACAAATTATAGCTACGTACAAATCAAAACTAGTAAGAATCAACTTAAGTCACAGGTTTCTCATTCGAAAGTGCAAAAGCCTAGTCACCTTGAAATAAGCGGAATGAAGCAAATTAACCCCCCACCCCAATCATGTTCCTTAAGTCCATATTATAACAAGTACATTCTCTTAAAATCGTTATGACTGTTAAGAAATAGAACCTGAGCTTTTATTTCTAAACAATCTTTAAATCACGGTAGCCAGTGCTGGCCACCGATTTAATGGATTATGCCACAGGAAAACCCCATCAGGGTTGTATGCCAATTTAGTGACACCATTGTCACTAATATCTAGCATTATGTTTGCTTTGCATTGTATTATTCATATGAAGCTAAACTAGTCACCATTTACTTTCATCTAATAGAGTCAAAAGTTATTTGCTTGAATGGACTACATATTGAAGTACAAATTTGTCCCCACCTTGTGAATTGCTTGCCAAAGAGCAAGCCATTTTTCTTGATACAACGGAAGAAAATTCTCAGTCATGAAGTTTTCACACATTTATACGAAGTAAACCAAACTTTCCAGTTACAGAGCAGAAATCATTATACATGAAAGCTATTTCTCATGCGTGCTAGCTAAAAACCAGTTCAGAGACCAAAGTTGAGTTGAGGTGAGGTCTGGAACAACAGTTGATGCAAAGCTTAAGTCCTAACCAGCAAAAGAAAGTGTTTTTAAAGTCTTATATATATATATATTTTTTGGTAATTAAATATTTTGGATTATAACCACATCCCTAAAGCTAAGGGAACCAAAATCAAAAAGCTACTCTGAATATTTGCAGTTATGCTACAGAATACGACGAAGTCTTATGATTGGGAAATGATTCCCAAAGTGTGTTCAACTGCAGGCAAGTCAATGTGCCACACCAATTTCCCCCAGGTTTAGAGTATAGACATATTTAGACAAATCACGTAACTTGAACTATTCACGTTAGATTCCCATCTAAGCCCAAGTTAGTAACAAAGGTGTTTCCGTGGAGCCCATTAAAAAAAAAAATTTAAATCACATTACAAAAAAACTGTACTTTTAGTCTTAATTCACTCAACCTGCAGAATAATTACCAAGATCGCATTCTGAAATTACTGATATTGCTGACCTATGGGCAGGTCAGTTTGCTACAACAGAGACTAATTACCACATGCTATACAGTCCACGGGAAGATGCTAAAAGCACTCTAGCAGGAGAGTCAAGTATGGTTTGGTTCCCTTTCCCCCACACCACTGATGTGTTCCATGTTATCTTCAGTTACAAAGCAACTAAAGAAAACCACACAACTGAGTCAGATATACCAAAGAATCAAGTTTGCACTTTTTATCTGAGAACTGCAACAGCACTGAATTCTGCCTGACAAATTACAGCTCTAAACCCAAACCCACGCAGTTTTGATAAGCTAGCTTTAGCATACATGTGTTAGGTGCTGCACTGTTATTTCATTGTCAGAAGTGTGATGTCAGAATGCCCACGGATTAAAAGTACATAGCAAGTCACCAAGTTAGATTATATTGCTTGTTACCTACCTGTATGCAGTCGGCAATGAGAATCTTGGAGCAAGCAGGAATACTACATCCGGGTCCTAATGTCCATTGCCATTTGCGGTACTACGTTCCTCACAGTTACGCACTGCAGAAATGCTGGCTAAATGCAGTTATGTAGCAGGCCACTACTTTAATAGTGCATAATTGCAGTCCAAGAACACCAGAAAACATTCCGCCACAACTTAGTGGCTTGCCCAAGAAAAGCCAAGTATCTAAATTTTTATCTGCCGTAATATGCCACTTATAAAAATTGCACAGGCGTAACATTACAATTTCCCAAATTATAAGCTGTGTATATTAGTGGTATGATACATCTACTATAAAGAGTGGTGGGGTTTATAGTTCTTAAAGGAGTTTAGTGTTCTAAGCAAAGAGGATTATGATTTCACTAAGTAATGTGAGCCAATGGGTTAAGCTTATAAAGATACCTATTAAATACCTGGGTTCTCTTAGAGAATGCAATTTTTAAAGGAGTACCAAATTTAAAAAGGATGTGTTCCTCTTAAAACAATAATGAGAGAAAGTGGAGAAGAGGAAAATGGGGGCAGGTGATTTCTTTAAATGAGAAAAATGGCTAAATTCTTCGAAAGTACTACCTTCCCTTTCCCACCCCAAGTTTCGCATCAGCTTTTAGGCAACTACTTTTTAAGATGACTTGAACCACATTAGGCTAAAAGCTATCATATACATTGCAAGACTTATAGAAAGTCTATTTGAGTAGCTTACAACCCTTGGAACACTATTTCAGTGATAAAAGTAAAAAACTTAGTTGAAACTAAGCAACATTATTTGCTAAACAACGTTTTAGCAATTCTACAGCTCACAGTAAGGCTATCAAAAACCACAACTTTCAGCAGATTATCCATTAGCATCTTTTACCACTCTTCAAAGGTACAGTACTACCACAAGCTTATTTTAGGGGTCTGTGCCAGCATCCCTTATAAAGAAAGGCATGTAATCTGAAAAATAAACTGAAACATTAATTTTATAGGCAGATTTTCCCATTTTCCCACCAGCCCCCACCCCCACACACACAAGTTCACCCTCTATGGGTGTCCCATGAACACCCCTTATTTTATGATTAGTGGAGTCCCTACCATACAATTCAAATTGTAACGGACTCCTTTCAAATCAAGACCCTTGTTTTCCGTACAGAAAATCTCAATACGTATCAACAATTCATAACTTGACTGGGAACAAAACTCTCTCATTGATATCATTATGGTAGAACTACCCATTTTCCAGGTGTCTTGGTGAACAGAATGAACAGTATCTGAGATTCTCTCCCTTAATTAGCACACCATTACTGTCAGTCACACAACCAGAATTGGGTGACATGCCTTTATACTCAACTAGTGTTTTACTTTTAGTATTATTCAGTTTCCTATGCAAAAAGTACTGGTTGTTTCAACAATAGATTTCCCCCTTTGTACTCAGGCACAATACTAAACTTCAGCACTTTAACAAAGGATTGATTTAGAATTTTACTTTTGCCAATTAGCACCAAGAACAAAGGTGAAGAGGAAGACACATTCCACAATAAGAGTTCTATAATGTACAAATTTGAATGGAACCATAAGAACAAAGCCAAACCATTCAATTACCTACTTTTAGGAAGCTGTGCCTCTGCTAACATATATATATATATATATATATATACACAATATATATATACTGGGAAAGCAGGTCCCCCTGTACTAACAGACAACAGTAATGATGTACTTTAAGTCAAAATATCTTCTTCTAATGGAAGGAAGTTCGATGAAGTTGACAAAAAACTGACAACACCATCAAAACACTCCCAAGCTTTATGGCTAAGCTTTATGGCTGGAGGGGTATTTATATTTGTACTGTGTAGCATGAGCAAGTCTCTCCAGATTTAGTGCTACATCAAAAGGAAACTAAAAACGGGTTAAATATTTTACAATTAAGAATGGTTATCTGCAACCCTATTTGTTAACAGTCACCACTAACTCTTAGAAAAGAGCAAGTAGATTTTTATAGTCCTATAGATCTTGCCCAACAGAAGTAGCACAAGATGTAAAAGAGTACAAATGTATTATGTATCTAAACCTACTTACTGTATGATCCCTATACTTACTTTCAAGTTGAATTTTTCAGACTAAACCCCATCTTTATAAATCGCTTCAAGTAATACATGAAAAGACTTCATGTTTGACAATCTTTAATTCAAATGTAAAAGTTCAGTACAAGCCATTTGTAGGGCTTGGGACTTAACTCTTAAAAACAAGAATGGAGGAATGCAACAAAATTATCTTTCCACTTTTTCTTCAGAAACTTTCAAGGAAAGGATAGATCATAGGGCCATCAAAGATCCATTTAGTCATACCCACTTTCTCCCCCTACCAATAGTCTTACACCCATTCCATAATCTTAAAACACATTCCTGAAGATTTACAGTTCAGCTTTGCTTACATAACCATTTGAAAGTACTTAGCACCACTTGCTTCCTATAATGCCAAACAAATCAAATCATGGAACTACTTCAGTATGCATTTGTTTGTTTTAAAACAAGGGGGTACTTATTTGTAGAAAGCAATACTTAGCCTACAAATACATTTCCCAGAAATGGCATGTGCCATTTGAAGGTCTAGACACTCTCATGCTTTCAAAATGGAATACCTAGCCTAATGTGCATAGAAGCATGAATGGCAAAGTTGAAAATCAATATTATAACTATTTATCTATTTATTTGAAGCACAGTAAAAAAAAAAATGGTACACTTTGGAAATTCAGTGGTACAAGGTACACTGCCATAACTTGAGGGGACATTATACAGTTAAAAAAAAAAAGGAAATAAAAAGGAAAAAAATTCCCCTGTTTCAAACACTGCATTACATAATTTTACCTGCCCAAACAGACCATTTACAAATATTAGGTCAGTAAACTGCTAACATCCATAAAAAGGTAGCTTTCTTACTAAAATGCAAGAATTTAAAAGATTGGTATCTAAACAAGAAAAGACAAAAACAAACTGGAATGAAAGCCTTGATATCACGTCTAAAATCGGGGCTTTTTGTTTGGGCCTTCATACTCTTCTCTCCCTCTACCATATCCTGCTGGAGTTCCAGGCCCCATTCCTCTAGGCCCCTGTCCTCCCACAGGTCCCGCACCTCCCTGCCCAAAGCGCTCAGTACGCTATTGGAACAGTAATTAACAGTTCATTATATGTAGTTGATGTCCATGTGTGTTAAGTAAATATTTTAGAAGGTTCCGTAGTCAACGTTCGTCGATACAATCACCAATGAGTCGATCCACAGGTACCGGGAACATAGAAAGGAAAAAAGGGTAATTTGAAAATTAGTTTACGATAATACATGCCTTGTGGTATGTTCCCACTTGAGCCATTCTCATACACCTGTTTCAAAGAACAGATCTTCCCTGTAGTGCTAAAAAATTTAAGAATTAGTGTAGATGTGAAAACCCATTCCAAAATGAGTTTAAGAAATTTCACATCCGATTAACCCACTGAAAAGCTTGCAAACTTCTCACTTTCAAGGTCTGAACAGGAAATTTAATTTCCAAGTAAGCCTAACAAGCCCAACCAGACAGATTCAATTCACTCAATGAAGTGACGAAGACCTACTCACCAGTTAGTGGCATGTGCTGCATAAGAAACCTTGTGCTTTTCAAGATCTTAAGACACATCTGCTAAGTTGCAGAACTCTTTAAGAGGTTCAAAGTTTAATAAAATGCTACCAGACTACAAAAAGAAAAAGCATAAGAGACTAATAGATTTAGTCACTTAACCGGCACAGTAACTTGATTAAAAGAACATGTGTTGCCATATTCTCACAGGTATACCACCTTCAGAGCCATCACTATATAACCAGAGACAATTATGTTCACAGTACTGTTCTGTATTATTGCAAATTGACTGAATATACAGCCCACCCCCATAACAGCCCAACTTTTCCCTTAGGTCTTTGAAAAGTCCACTGCTACTTAGCTATGATTCCATATTTTGGGTTATCTCCCAAACAGCCTAATACCAAGCTTAAACGACTGCAATAAAGCAGTTCATTTTTCCATCTAGTTTTAGGTACTTCTAGTCTCAGAAAGCTACGTACCCAAACAGAAGAACCCTCTAGATATGCAAGCACCACAGCCTGGATTATCTTTCAAATTCCATTTAAAATAGATCAGTTACTGAGTATTACTCCAATAAACATAAAACAAACCCAAAAATGGCATCAGGGTTTAACTGTTCCTATACATCATAATTTCAACATGTTCCTTACAAAGTATTATAGGACTGCTTGAAAAGACTAAATATCAACCCTTTAAACTATTTTTCAAAATTCTAAAAATTTTTAGGGTTTTAGCACACTATACTATGTATTTCAAAAAGGAAAATTTGGAGATTTCAAGATTATGTCATTACAACATCTTAGAAACTGGAGGAGCGTTATATGGAATATAGAACCTTAACTGTGGGAACATCATATCAAATTAAATTTTACAAATTTGTGTACATACCTACAATCTGCCTTTTAGGAAAGCCCATATGCCAAATTGTTACCCACATTATTAAAATTCAGTTTGAAGAAGCTAACAGCACTACATTTAACCCAACCAGCTATTTATGGTTCTAATTCCCAAAAAGCCATAAGTGGATTTTAAACAGGTGAGGCCCCATACTAAATCCTATGTTCCTATCTGTAAAATGAATCTAGTGAGTTACATACTGTAGCTTCCTTCCTTTGCCAAAAGCTTATGGGTGAACTAATCAGATTCAATTCAGTTGTGAAAATGAACACTTCTCTGAACCCACCTCTAAAGCCAATATTCAGTTCCCTAAGGATTTGTAAAGCCCTAAATACAGCCACTTGTACCAATTCACTTGGTTGTTCGTTCTAAAGCATCTGACAGGATATTTGCACAGCTAAAATATGATAGTATCAAGAAGGCTCAGATCAAATGCACACAACTAGTATGCTTAAAATTATCACTAATTTTTGGTACCCTATAGCAAAATAGAGATGTCAGTTTATTTTAGAAGTTATACCTATAGACAGGCCCAACGGGTGGGAAACGACGAGTCAAAACATTAAACAATTCCCTTTTCATGGGTAGAAGCCCCATCAAATATAGGTCAAAGTCCTACACATCACTAAAACATGCCTAGAAGCTGCAAACTACAAGTCTAAATCATACATATGGCAAATACCAGCTTAATGAACAACAGTTTGCCATTTGATTACTCTCACTTGGATGTAGAATAATCAGGTACGTTACCTAACATGTAGAATTTGGGATTTGCCATGCGCTGGAGTGCAAAAATACACAAGCAATATAATGAAAAGCACCTAAGTCTACTTATTGCCAAAGATAACTCCAACATACTACTAACAGCATTGACTTCCCGTTGGCAACCATGTCTGTTTAGGTTACCACACACCAAGTTCTTTTATGTTGCCAAAGTATTCCTCAACATTATGATTTACATGATAGGGGAACTAAAAGAGGTCCAGTCACCTACTTTAAAAAAAAAAAACACACACGTAAATTGTGAAAATGAGAATTTCTTTTGTACTACGTCCCACAGGATACATTACCATGTCACTTCCCATCATGGAACCACTCATGGTTGCTGGTGGAACTCCAGGATTAGCTTCATAACCTATGCCACCACCACCACCTAAAGGTGGAAATTTCTGGCCTCCTGAACCATAGGGATCTAGAAAACAAAAATGCTGGTTACAACTCAACCAGAATATTGCTCTTCAATGATTTTGCTAATTTAATTTTCATGCTTACCTCCCATGTTCATTGCTCCTCCACCACCCATTCTCATGTCTCTTTCTCTCTGGAAAAAGAAATCTCTTTCATACACTTGTACTATACACATACCATGCTTAAGAGTATAAAGAAATTACAAACTTGATGGTTTTTAACTTTTAAAATAAGGTTCATTAAGGCAATTTTAAAGTCAATATTCTGAAACCAGTTACCAAGATTCAATTATCAAAAGACCTAAAAGCTTCTTCCCAACCAATGAAAACTGTAAGGCGTATCAATCGTAACAATACACTTGGTTTTTGAAAAATGGCTGTAATATGAAATGTTGTATTTAACTGAGTAAAATTTTATTCTAGGTGTCAACAAGCTTTGTAGACAACTCCAATTAGATTGCAATAGAAATTTACTTACTGGATCCATGTAGCCCATTCGACTGTAACTTTCTTCTCTTTGGCGTCTCATTTGTTCTTCCATTTCACGTTGACGAATCATCATCTCTTCTTCCCTTCTACGTCGTTCCTCCTCTTGCCTGGAAATGTTCATCAAGCATATAAACCAAAATGTTATACACATCTTTTAAAATTCAATTTGAAGCAAGCTAGTTTCCCTAACAGCTTTACAGAGTCTAGATTAGAATAAACACACATCAAGGCTTGGAGAGTGAGTCTAGAATAGCCCTAGAGGCATTCTGGCAAAGAAAATAAGCATTATTTATGAAAATTTTTACACACTACTCCAGTTTAAGTGTTACACCAACACTGACAAACCTCTCTGTACTTCATCTGAGTCACTTGTAAAATTTAGGTACTTCTTCTCTCTAAATGTTAATGCAGAAGCAAAGACTTAGTTTAACAAAATTTTACCTTAATTGCATTTCTTTACGTTTCTGCATTTCTTGATTGTGAAGTTCTTCCATGCGTCTCAATTCTTCCTGGCGTCGCATCAGATCTGAACATCAGAAAATTTTGTTTTAGGTTCACATTAATGAGGTTCTACTAAGTTCAAAAAGCAACTGATCCTCTCAGCAAAATTCAGAGGATCTTTTACCTTGACGCAGAAGATTTGCCTGATGCTCATGATAGGCATCTTCCATTTCACTTTCCAATTTGTCTTTTGCATCTTTCATGTTTTTTTCAACTTGTTCCCTTTGCTGTTTCTCCATTTCATCTAGGGACTTCCATCGCTGAGAATATTCATACTCAAACGTGCCATGCTGGGCAAAACGAGGAGGGGTTTCTCGCTCCCTGTCAATATTTAAACATGAATCAATTTGGGATGCACAAGAGAAACACCACCTGATTCCCCTAAAAACATTGGTCTTTGCCCCTGGCTTATTACTTGTAAGGAATACCAAGAGGCAAAGACCACCTTGGTTCATACAAACTATCTTCACAGCATAAACAATACATGTCCAAGAATGATACAGTAACAGAGAACATGGGCACTAGAGATAAATCTTATCTTCCTCGTTTCCTAATTGTTTCCTCTAGCAAAATTCCTATTCAAAGAAAATTTTCCCATCCTTAAAAATAAGGGTAACTCATGCCCCATGCAATTATTGGTTATAAGAACAAGGCAAGATTGGAAATATACCTACCTCAGAAACAAAAGCTAGGCATTTTAATAACCACTTCAAGACCTCAAACTTTCTGAACCTGAGGTTTTTATTAAGCATAACCATTTTGAAAAATTTTGCATTTTAAGAAAAACTGAAAAATTACTAGAACAAGTTCTCACTTCAACTTGAAAACTGTCCCCAAATTTTATCAATCTTACTTTTGATACATTGGATTCTTCTGTGCAAGTTTTTCAGGAAGACCATCTTCATCGTCTAATTGTTCAAGTGGCTCCACAATGACTGGACGAGGAGTTCTAATAACAAAAATGGTTCCATCTTAACTTTTTTCCAGTTTTATTGCAACTTCCTCATACAAGTTGAATAGAAATTAGTAAAATAAGCACAAGAACTTACGTTGTCAGTAAGAAAACGCCTTCACTGCATCTTTCAAATGCTTTTCTTGCTGCTGGTTTAGAAGCAAATTCAACTATGCCTTTCCCTGTCGATCTTCCACGATCATCCACAATTACAACAGCCCTTTCAATAGGACCAAACTGGCTAAAGGCTTCTTCCAACAGTTCATTGGAAACATAAGGTGAAAGATTTCGAACAGAAAGGGCAGCAGCATGTGTGGCAAAACGAACCCGAAGCTGTCTACCTCTCATGGGTGTATCATCAAGTTCAGCTTTAGCAATTTCAGCCAATGCTCTGGATTCCTGAAAGTTATCAGACATACGTTAACGACCTCAAAAATTGACTAATACCCACTCTCAAATTGTCATAAGCCTAATTCCCACTCCTATTCTTCCTCCAGTTCAAAGTATCTTCAGGCAGCCCTCTTCACTGTTACCCACCCACTCCCCTTGTTTTAGATACCGACATTTATGCACTATACAGCAGTTGCATCTTTTCTGTAATGATGAAAGTTTTAAAGACTTATTTTTGTTGGTTAAAAAACCAGTACATATGTAGTAGCAAAAAACAGACTTTTAATTAAACATAGAATCAAACTCACAAGCTTAATAAATCCGAATCCTTTGCCTTTGTTGATAAAAACTTCTCCTGGTTCTCCATATTTAGCAAATAGCCTTTTGAATTCATCCTCCGTAATATCAGCAGGTAGATTCCCAACAAACAACCGACAACGCTGAGTGTAAGTTTTCTCTCCAGGTCTCCTCAAGAGAGACAAGTTGGCTTTAAACCCCTAATGAAAAAAGAAGGGCATTTTCAGATACCAGTGACCCATGCAAGCAGGGAAACCCAATCATTTTTGCTTTTCCCAAATTGGATGTCACCAATTGCGTTACTCTCCTGTTCCGTTTAAAGTGAAAGCGAGGTTCTACTATATATGTGGGATTTCCAACGAAATCCCTATCCTCACATCAAACAGCCTAAAACATTCAAAATATTCTTGAAAATTGACACTTAAACCTCTCTACAGAATAGATTCTGTATCAGCAATCCCATCAGCCCTATATGCTGAACGTCCTGACAAACTTAAATCGTAGCAGACAATAATGCTAAGGTATTAAATGAATAGAGAAAACGACCAACATCCGGTTGTCCCCGACACTTGCGCCTGCGATTTTCACATCGTTTAACTCGTTATCCCGATCTCTCCAAACCTACATTTCACGCTGCACTCTACTCCGATTCCCACGATCCTCTAGCTTTCACAGAGGTCATCATAGCTTCTCATGTCCTTCCTCAGGCCGCCTCCCTCGGTCCTCAGCCGGCCGAGGCCAATCCCCGGGGGCCGGCTGGCGGACCCACGCGGTCCGCCCCTCGCTCCCGCATCCCGCCCCGCCCACCGCTCAGACGCCTTTCCGGTCTCCGACAAAATGGAAGCCGACGCGGGGGAGGGGAAAGAAGAGTGGGTCGCCGCCATCTTAGGGAAACCGACTTGTAGCTCCGGGAGACACTCACCTCCGAGTCGGAGATCTTCTCCTCGCTGCGGCCTCCGGGCACGCCGGGCAGAGGTCCCTGGTGGTGCTGCTGGTGGTAGGGTGGGTGGTGCTGCCGGCCTCCGCGGGGCTCCCCGCCTCCTCTGTGTGGCGGCTTCGGATGACCGCCAGGAGTGCTTAGGCCCGGGCCGCCGCCGGGCTTCGGCCCGCCTGGCATTTTGCCGCCTTTGGGGCCGCCGGGTCCTGGACCCTGTTTAGGCCCTGGCCCCGGCCCTTGGCCCCCCGCGGGTGGAGGCGGCGGACCCCCGGTCTGAGGGGGAGTTGTAGGGACCCCGCTGCTCGGCGGCGCGGGCGGAGGCGCCCCGGGCGGCGCCGAGGTGACAACGGGCGGCGGGGTCGGGGTAGGGCCTGGCCCTGTGGTAGCCCCAGAGGTCGGGGGAGTAGCGGGAGGCGCCGATCCGGAGGCTGGAGGAGCGCTACCTACTCCCGGAGCCGGGCCGGGTCCCTGAGGAACGGGCTTAGAAGAGTCTTGTGGCGGTGGCGGCTGCTGATGCGGCGGCGGTTGCTGATGCGGCGGCGGCTGCTGAGGCGGTGGCTGTTGAGGCGGTGGCTGCTGCTGCTGCTGTTGATGTTGATGCGGAGGCGGTGGCGGGATCGGGGGCTTGGGGCCACCCTGGACGGGGCCGGGACCCATGGGTCCACGGTTCTGACTAAGGCCCATGCCGGGCGGCGGGGAGCGAAAGTCGTGGAGGCCGCCGCGGCCGCCGCCTCCTCCGCGCCGGTGGAAGCCGCCACCGCCACCGCCGCGGCTCCGGAACCGATCCCGAGACATGTCTGTGATCAAGGGGCGGTCGAGACAGAAGCGGAGAAGACGCTCAGGAAACGTAGAGGCCACCTTGCTCTGCACAAGATGGCGGATGACACAGGCTGCGCGCCGTCTTTGTCCTCTTCTTATATAGGCCAGCTGGCGTGGCCCCGCCTACTTCTTGATCGGTAGCTCCAATAGCCAATTGCAAGTGCTGTACTTTATGACACAAAGTTACGAAGCGCTAATATTTTCTATTGGCTCATGGGTGAGAGGCGGGAAGAATGGGTAGCTGAAGTTGTCAGTTGGCCAATGAGCAGAAAAGGAGTTGACTGTAGGCCACTGTGATTTGCTGGGAGAAATTTGAATGCGTTCGCTAGACCAATTTTCCCATGAAAGCAAATAGCAAAGGCTCTATGAGCTCCGAGGGAGAGATGTTAAAAGGCCCTTTTCTTTCTTGATTGCACTGGGAGCAGTCCACTGGTATCCTTGCCTAGAAACAACAGACGGTCTCTGGTTCAAAAGCATAAATTAAGTGCCTGCTATCTACTCTACCTTATCCTGGGCCAGGGCAATTTGAGAAAGAAAATCTTACCGATTTCACATACACAATCTCACTGATTTCATTTTGGAACCTAATTGCAATGCAGGTTTATCTAGCAGTATAAACTTTTAATAGGCTTAAGTGAGTGCACTCTTTTAAAAAAAGAAAGTCCTTGATTTTTATGTCCCTAAATAATGGGGACTATAACGTTTTTTGAAATTCTGCTAAACACTTTATGGACATATTAACATACTTTAAAAATTACAATATTAGGGCCGGCCGAGTGGCGCGATGGTTGAGAGCTGGCTTGGGACGCCAGAGGGCCCCGGTTCGGATCCCACATGTGAGGGCCAGTGACAGTGCCCTCCGCAGCTGGGATGCTGGGCAGCAGCTCGATCTGGAGCTGGGCTGCAGCCCCTGTGGCAGTGGGTTGCCATGGGCTGCCGTGTGTGTGTGTGTGTGTGTGTGTGTGTGTGTGT